CATGTTACACAAATTCTTATCCATAACAATGTCTAAAAGGCTGAAGAGATGAGATGCTGGATGGAATGTAAGCACCCTTGTTACCTTGGCTCCTGTCCTATGCAGGCTTACTGTATATCCAGCCACATGCCTCCTCCCTGAGATCAGTTTTAGAAGACCCACCTCACATTGTGATGACCACCTCCTGATAACACCATGCACCAGCCTCCTCCTGACACACATCCCCCACTGAGTGACTACCATCCATTATGTCACCTCTGCCACCCTTCTGATGACTACCACACCCCTCCCCCCACCTTTAAATCCCACATTACTACCCACTTCCCATCTGACCCTGGTATGCACACATTTATAAAATGTCAGTACCCCCCTTCTTGTTTGTATGCCCACTCATCTGCATGTTCCAACACCCACCTCCTCAAAAGACCTAGTTCCGGTCCTTCTTGCAACAACTTTCAACCATCACAACAAAGTCCTGACTTGCAAGTCCTAACACTTCTCCACTTTCATTATGCTGCCTTCCCATATACACACATCCTCAATGTGGCCGTAAACACAACATTTTCAGACATCATCATACAGCTAAGGGAATCCATCTCATCCTCAGTTGTTACATTGTTTTCATAGAAACTGATATTGGAAGGTTATCCTAGTATCACCCCTCCCCCATATATTTGCAAGTTGTGACACCCCTCTGTCACATGGTCCCACTTCTTCCCTGAGGAACTATCTCCCCATATCTAAGTCAGTTCAGGACCACCTTGTAAATATTTACCCCTTGTCCCGACACCCTTCTCCCTTGCAGGGACTAATCCCCCCAAATATAAGAAAGTCAGTCCCATCTAGTAATTATCTTCAACTCAACTGTAAGCAGCCCCTAGAGTTCCTGACACCTTCCTCTCTTAATAACTACCACTGCCTCCCCCACATACACACACCTGTCAGACCTGACACCCCTCTCTCGTCTATTAACCCCCCAAACACACACCTATCAGACCTGCACCCCCTCTCTTCTATCTACCCCTCCACACACCTATCAGACCCTGACACCCGCTCTCTTCTATCTACCCCTCCCCCACACACCTATCAGACCTGACACCCGCTCTCTTCTATCTACCCCTCCCACACACCTATCAGACCTGACATCCGTCTCTTTTCTATTAGCCACACGCCTATCAGACCTGACACCCCCTCTCTTCTATCTACCCCTCCCACACGCCTATCAGACCTGACACCCCCTCTTTTCTATCTACCCCTTCTCTTCTATCTACTCTTCCCACACAGCTATCAGACCTGACACCCCCTCTCTTCTATCTACCCCTCCCACACGCCTATCAAACCTGACACCCCTCTCTTCTATCTATCCCTCCCACACACCTATCAGACCTGATATCCCTCTCTCTTCTAATAAACCACACACACACACACGACCAGGTATCCGTCACTTTTATATTATCCCCCTACACACACCTATCAGACTGGACATCCCTCTCTCTTCTATTAACCCCCACCCCACCATACACACCCACTTGACCTTACGTCCGCCTATCTTCTATTAACCCCCTACACACACCTATTACACCCAACTCCTTCCACCACTCCAAACATCAGGCCTGACATCAACCACACACACACCTATATGACCTGACACCAGCTCCCTGCACACACCTATCAGTGCTGGTACCGCCCTTTATTATATCCACCCTCATCCACACCTATCAGACCTGACACCCCCTCTTTTTTATTAAATATACACCTATAGTAATGACACCTTTTGGTCAACTAGCAACTAGAACACTTCCTCACCTGTAAAGCTGCCCATTCATGGATCAAATATTGATCTATGTATGGCTGTTCCCTTTTGTGAGAAGTTGGTCTATTGATTGGCTTGTTGGGAAATGTTCCCCCATCAGCTTATGCAGTCATATGATCAGTGTATTCTGATAGCAGAGACGTCTCGCTATCAGCATACAATGACCAAGGAGGGAGGGTTCCTGCACCTACCGCCAATGTATGGATGGGGGAAAACGGTTTATGTTTAGCCACTGGCTGAATGAAAAAAAACTGAACTATGTATAGCCAGCTTTAGGCTGGCCATACATTATACAATTTTCCTTTAGATTTACCAAGCCATATAAGACGATGTCAAACCTAAACACTTACAATTTGTATGAAATCAGGCCCCTGCACAACTTAGTTGAAGGCAAATTTAAAGGGAACTGATTAAGAAAATTGTATAATGTATGGCCAGCTTTACTATCACTCCAACACCCCCCTATTATTACTTCATGTCCCGTTCTTACAACTGTTCAGGTCATGCCAGACGGGTGATTTGGTAGCAGAAATGATCTGTCAAAAACTCAGTGGCGCGTTTCAGCATTGGGTGGGCACGCTCTGCTACACATTGCTAAGCCACAGAGGTGATGCAGAGGGTGGTCACTGGCGGGGTGACTGCTGACGGGAAACGATGCCGAGACCCAATCCTGAGCTACAGATCAACAAAAAAATGGCAGAGATCGATTTCATAGAGAATCACCATTAGTGAGAAAAAAAAAATTGCTGCATATAAATGGCCTGTCTGACATGACCCTAATAACATCACACAACTATATATCCTGACACCGCCACAAGTAATGACACCCCTCTGCCCCATGTATGTAATGACGCCCCTCACCCCTGTATTCAATGACACCCCTCTGCCCCATGTATGTAATGACACCCCTCTGCCCCATCACCCCTGTATGTAATGACACCCCTCTGCCCCATCACCCCTGTATGTAATGACACCCCTCTGCCCCATCACCCCTGTATGTAATGACACCCCTCTATGTAAATACACCCCTCTGACCCATCACCCCTCTATGTAATGACACCCCTCTGCCCAATCACCCCTCTATGTAATGACACCCCTCTATGTAATGACACCACTCTGCCCCATCACACATGTAATGACACCCCTCTGCCCCGACACCCCTCAATGTAATGACACCCCTCTGCCCCATCACCCCTCTATGTAATGACACCCCTCTGGCCCATTACCCATGTAATGACACCCCTCTGCCCCATCACCCCTGTATGCAATGACCCCCTCTGCCCCATCACCCCTCTATATTGACCCCATCACCCCTGTATGTAATGACACCCCTCTGCCCCATCACCCTCTATGTAATGACACCCATCTGCCCCCTCACCCCTGTATGTAATGATACCCCTCTGCCCCATCACCCCTGTATGTAATGACACCCCTCTGCCCCCTCACCCCTGTATGCAATGACCCCCTCTGCCCCATCACCCCTGTATATAATGACACCCCATCACCCCTGTATGTAATGACACCCATCTGCCCCCTCACCCCTGTATGTAATGATACCCCTCTGCCCCATCACCCCTGTATGTAATGACACCCCTCTGCCCCATCACCCTCTACATAATTACATAATGACACCCCTCTGCCCCATCACCCCTCTATGTAATGCCACCCTTGCCCCATCACCCCTCTATGTAATGCCACCCTTTGCCCCATCACCCCTCTATGTAATGCCACCCTTTGCCCCATCACCCCTCTATGTAATGCCACCCTTTGCACCATCACCCCTCTATGTAATGCCACCCTTTGCCCCATCACCCCTCTATGTAATGCCACCCTTTGCCCCATTACCCCCCCCCTATCACCTGTAGACTAAGGCCCCCCACTCCCTCCTGATAACTCTGACACCCCCAGTCTCTGGCAGTGCTCTCCAGCGCCCCACCCTGTACAGGACAGAGATGACACCCAGCTCGTGCCCTCAGCTCCCTATCAGAAGAGTGGGGGAGGGGTTCCAGTTCCTATGGACGGTAACCCACCCTCCGCGGTGTCCGACTTCTCCCGGTACAGCTCCGTCTCCCGGGACCTCCGGCTTTGTCTGACGGAGGTGGGCGGTGCCTGCACAGAGTAAAGAGGAGCTACCGACCCGCCTCCTTCGGCCACTCCTCCTCCTCCTCCTCCCTCTCAGAAGCGGCCGCCACAACCCCGCCCCTTCTTGTTATTATTTCTCCTAGAGACTTGAGTCACGTGGCTCCCTAGCGTCAGTCGACTCCCCTTTGAATCACGTGACCCTGTGGTAGTGTTGGCTATTTTGGTCCGTAGTTGTCCGGTCTATGTGTGACTTGAGGTGACACCGGGTGTGACAGTCACGATGTGTGCAGTGTGGGGCCTAATATCGTCCTACACCCGGGAAGAGTTCGGGAAAGAGTAAAATGGCCGCCGCCCATTCCTTGGAAACAACACAAGTTTCCATAGCAACAACAGGTGTCAATCACCCCGCAGGGCTCTGCAGACGGCTGGCTTCAGATTTGCAATCCAGAGTGTAACGTCCCCTGTGTGAGTGTGACAGGAACGGGTCACCTCACATCCTTCTCCCTGATCACCATGACACCTGTTACTGTGTCTACTACATACACTATATTGCCAAAAGTATTGGTCGGCCTGCCTTTCCACACACATGAACTTCAACTCTTCTGGGAAGGCTGTCCACAAGGTTTAGGAGGGTGTCTATGGGAAGGTTTGACCATTCTTCCAGAAGTGCATTTGTGAGGTCAGGCATGATGTCAGACAAGAAGGCCTGGCTCACAGTCTCCGCTCTAATTCATCCCAAAGGTGTTCTATGGGGTTGAGGTCAGGACTCTGTGCAGGCCAGGCAAGTTCCTTTGTGGTGTGCAGTCATGTTGGAACAGGAAGGGGCCATCCCCAAACTGTTCCCACAAAGTTGGGAGCATTAAATTGTCCAAAATGTCTTGGAATGCTGACACCTTAAGAGTTCCCTTCACTGGAACTAGGGGGCCAAGCCCAACCCCTGAAAAACAACCCGACACCATAATCCCCCCTCCACCAAACATTATACTTGGCACAATGCAGTCAGGCAAGTACCGTTCTCCTGGCAACCGCCAAACCCAGACACGTCCATCAGATTGCCAGACAGAGAAGCGTGATTGGTCACTCCAGAGAACACGTCTCCACTGCTCTGGAGTCCAGTGGCGGCGTGCTTTACACCACCGCATCGGATGCTTTGCATTGCACTTGGTGATGTAAGGCTTGGATGCAGCTGCTCGGCCATGAAAACCAATTCCATGAAGCTCTCTACGCACTGTTGTTGTGCTAATCTGAAGGCCACACAAAGTTTGAAGGACATTAGATATTGACTCTGCAGACAGTTGGAGACTCTGCACACTGTGTGATTCAGCATGTGCTGACCCCGCTCTGTCATTTTACGTGGCCTACCACTTTATGGCTGAGTTTCTGTTGTTCCCAGTTGCTTCCACTTTGTTATAACACCACTAACAGTTGACTGTGTGAATATTTAGTAGCCAGGAAATGTCACGGATGGACTTATTGCACAGGTGACAACCTATCACGGGACCACGCTTGAATTCACTGAGCTCCTGACAGTGACCCATTCTTTCACAAATGTTTGTAGAAGCAGTCTACATGCCTAGGTGTTTGATTTTATAACCTGTGGCCATGGAGGTGATTGGAACACCTGAGTCCAATGATTTGGATGGCTGGCCCAGTATGTTTAGCAATATAGTGTATATATAGTGCAGTCAGTGTACTGTATATAGAAAGTATGTTCACGTTTATTTCATCCTTTTAACTAGTTTAGGTCACTGGACGTGCTACACGTGCCCAAAAACCTTCTTCAGAGTACACAGAGCTTGTAGATTATATCCAGACCTTCTGCCCTGTTGTCTGTCAAAATACAGAACTGTTTGACATACCATGGTGTTTATCATCACCATAACATTGTTACTTTTCTATCTATCAGGGGCATGCAATTAAAACCTGTACTACATGCAGTAGTAAGGGGCAAGTGAGTCCTATTACTGATAGACGGTGCACATGTCAAGGGCCAGTCCACGGACAGGTTGCAGACAACAGTGTTAGTGTGTGCGTAGAGCAGTGTATGATGATGAAGTTTCTTGTGAACAAAGACATAAAATCCACGTGTATCTGCAGAAGACTCCAAGCACGGTGCGGTAATGAGATGCTCAGCTGCAGTAAGACATTTGAATGGTGTAAACTTTTCAAAGATGGCCGTACATCCATCAGTGACAATCCCAGCCTTGGTGGTTCCCAGGATTTTCTACTCTGTGGTGCTACTATCAACAGTGAATATTACTGTCGTGTACTCAGTGATGTGCATATGCATCTGCAGAAATAATGGCCATGTTTGATCACTAAGGGCATTCTGATTTATCAGGACAATGAACAAGCTCATACTGCTCACCACACTGCGTGCACATTACAGCGACTCAGCTAGGAGGTATTGCCACATTCCTCTTACAGCCTTGACCTCGCTACCAGTGATTTCCACTTGTTTGGACCTCTAAAAGAGTTCCTCGGAGGTCAGCATTTCAGCACTGTTGATGAAGTGAATCAGGATGTCCTAGGATGGTCCAAGCTTACTGACAAATCTTTCTATCCAGTCATTAGGTAAACGCTAGGATAAGTGTGTACATGTTGCAGGGGAGTATGTTGAATAATAAATGCAGTTTCCACTCCTTGAAATTTGTTCTTTTATTATATAAACTGAAAAGTCCTGGTTTGATTTGAAATCCTGTTATACTTTGTTTCATTCATTCGCAGATCCAAGGGATGCAATTTGATCTGCAAATGTCATCAGTTAGGGTCTATTCAGACCAGGTATGGTGGGGCTAAATTGGGTGGCTATTCTAGCACAGTCCCACCACAGGACAAGGCAAAATGCCTTGTCTCCTACCTGGCCAGTTCACACTGCCATCATATGGCGTTGTTTACTGAAAATCCCACTGCATTGCACTGCACCCCAGCCACTGTGTTGTAATGCCATGGCTGGGGTGAATAGATTCTCGAAGAAAACTGACAGATAAAAAAATGTATTTGTGTTTTTTTTAATGTGTCTTAATTTAACCTTTACTAATCCTTGGTTTGCCGAAATTAACTTATTCTTGCCCTTTTCCCTTCAACTATTATGTTCCTGCTGATTTTTTTGTTTATTTCTATTTTATCATCTATTGCTAAACTTTTTTTTTATTTATTTGTTTAAAAAGTTTTAAAATAGAGCAAAATTGAAAAAAAAAAACTTTGTTTCATTCATCAAATAACTACAATGTTTTGTAACAGAATCATAACTTCAGTGTCATTTTAAATAGGACAAATTATAGAATAAAATGTTACTTTTTTATCTACTATGACACTTTTTTTTAACAAACACTGGACAAAAAAGGAAAAAAGTGTTTTTTATTTTGTTGTCTAAGGATTGCATAAAATTAAATCATTTCTGCAAGAATAATCAAAAAAATAAAGCCTTTTTTGTCCTTATGAAAATATACAGTATGTATTACTTTGTTATCTTAGTAGAAGTGGTATTAAATTCACCTTTTAACCGCTAGCCTACAGGGCACTTATACCCCCTTCCTGCCCAGGCCAATTTCCAGCTTTCAGCGCTGTCGCACTTTGAATGAAAATTGCGCGGTCATGCAACACTGTACCAATATGAAATGTTTATCATTTTTTTGTGACAGATAGAGCTTTATTTTGGTGACATTTAATCACCTCTGGGTTTTTTATTTTTTCTTAAACCAAAAAACCACTGAACATTTTGAAAAAAAAAAAACTTTTTTCTTAGTTTTTGTTATAAAATTTTGTAAATAAGTGATTTTTCTCCCGTCACTGATATGCCTTAATGAGGCTGCACTGATGGACACTGATAGGTGGCACTGATGGGCATTGACAGGCATCACTGATGGGCACTGAAAGGCAGCACTGATACATGGCACTGATAGGTGGCACTGATAGGCGGCACTGACTGGCACTGTTAGGTGACACTGACAGGCACTGATAGGTGGCACTGATGGGCACTGATAGATGGCACTGATTGGCAGCACTGATAGGGGGCACTGACTGGCACTGATGGGTGACACTGAAAGGCAGCTCAGATGGGCACTGATATGTGGCATTGATGTGCACTGGTAGGCACTGATATGTGGCATTGATGTGGCACTGATGAGCACTGACAGATGTTGCTGCTGGGGCTACACTGATCATCAGGGCACACTGATCATCAGTGCCCTGATCATCAGTGTACATGTCCCCTCCGCGGAAACCTGATTACCGGCTCTCCTCTCCTCTCTAACTGTCAGCTGGACAGCTCGAGAGGAGAGACATGCCGATAACCAGCATTTCCCTGTTTACATGTGATCAGCTGTGATTGAACACAGCTGATCACATGACCGAGCTGTCATCTTCGGCTCTTTCCGTGATCGGTGATCCGCTGTGTCCAAGGGACACAGCGCACTGCTGATCACCGCGCTGCGCGCCCCCCTGAGCCACGCATGCGTGGTAAGAATGGGAGGACGTCATATGATGTCCTCCCAGAATGAGAGAACCACCTTGCGTCCGTCAAATTACTATATGGCGGGCGGGAGGTGGTTAATAGTTTGCTGACAATTAGAGTATTTATGACAGAAGAGGCCCTACTGGTCATTAAAGCTTTCTCCTGCCTGCCAGCTGTCATGTACACTGAGCCATGCATGTGCAGCTCAGTATACAGTACATTTACTACCAGTGATGCAACTCCCATGCACAGGAGTGATGTCACCTTCAGCCCAGCCATTCAAGTGGTCAAACTGATGGAATCCAGAGGAAAGATCAGATCAGTGACACCACAATGCTGGAGAGATTCTTTGGAGGTAAATCTGCTGCAATGTGCTAATATGCAGTAAATACTAGTAAATTATGGCATAACCCACCTGAGGGCCCCTAAAAAAAAATAGCAGAGCTTACTTCCACTTTAATTAATGCCGTAGTTATTGCTTAATGAACAGGCCCATAGGGGGGGGTGTACAGGCATGAGAGGGGAAGTGGTTAAACCAGGCTTAGGCTGATGCTGAAATCACCAGCTTCAGGATTGCTTGGAGGCTGTCTGTTTGTCCCTAGGGCACGGGTGTCTGACTGGCGGCCCTCCAGCTGTTGCCAAACTACAAGTCCCGTGAGGCATTGGAAGATTGACAGTTACAAGCATGGCTCCCAAAGGCAGAGGCATGATGGGACTTGTAGTTTCGTAACAGCTGGAGGGCCGCCAGTTTGACACCTCTGCCCTCTGTAGTTGTAAGCAGTGAGACTCCCATTGCTAGAGTTGGAGATTAAGGATGCTTTCACACGGGCGTTCCATTTTTTTTTCTTCAGTCATGTTTTTTCAAAGAAAAAACGGATGAGTTTACATCCGTTTTTTTAATCTGTTTACATCCTTTTTTTTTATTTTTTTAATCTATTTTTCATCCCTTTACAACAGTTTTTCATCCATTTAGATCTGTTTACATCCATTTTTCATCCATTTACATTCATTTTTGTTCCATTTACATCCGTTGACATCCATTTTTTATCCATTCTGAGGTTTTTTGCAGAAGAAAAATAGGGGTTTCTTACGTTAAAAAAAAATGGATGTTAACATATGCAGACATTAATGGATGTGAAAACATGTTCATCAACTTACATCTGCAAGTCCATAGAAATACATGGGGGTCCATTTTTCATCCGTAAATGGACAGATGAAAAACGAACATACGGAACGCCCGTGTGAAAGGGGCCTTAGTAGTTTTTGACCTGCAACAGAGCAACATTTCACTGCAACTGACTGCAAAGGGAATGATTCTATAGGGACATACAGGCAGTCTCCTTAGTGATCCTACCACTAGTGGTTTGTAGTAGCAGAATCACCGTTGTGTCGTCAGCCTTACTGCTGGGTGTTTTGGTAGAAAGCATACTTTTCTCCAAGGTACTCCATGCAGGTCTGACGTTTTATCATTTTAGGGCTCTTTCTGCCTACTCACTGCCTGACAAACACCTCTGAAAAGCAATCCTTGCACAGCCAGCAATTATCTGCGGTGATCGCTGCTGGATGCAGTTCGTGTGTGTCCCAACATTTGATCGCTGCAGGTAATTGCTGGCTGTGCAGAGAGCTGTGAATGGCTGTGGCTGCCATTGACCTGTCATAGTGAACGGGGCCAGTGGCTGCACCTAGCTGCTCAGAGCCACAACAGAAATCAGAAGATTCCTGCCATTACAATTCACACCGGCCTAAATCACCAGAGTGAATGTGGCCTCAGGGTTGCCACCTGTCTGCTTCAATGTACACAAAATCATGTGTAACAAAAAAGTTTTAATGTAAAAAAAAATTATGAATGTGCTGAGGTTTATACATGTCTGTGAGAGTCCTACTTGTTGACAGCAATCTACCTATATTTAATAGGTACAAGAATGCTTTTGTATTACCATGCCATTTTAAGTCTGTCCCACTGTCAAAGCAATTAGCTCCCACACGCTGTTTGCCATGGCATGCGTAGCTAAAGTGTTCAGTAGGGGATCATGGGGCCCCAGAGTCCTTGCCCAAACTCAAAAAAGCCTATAAAAAAAGGTACCAGGGTCATCTAATGGGGCCCCTACTGACCCCAGGCCCTCGGGCAGTGCCCAAGTTTCCAAATGGTCAGTCCGCCCCTGGTGTTCAGGTTTGATTTCAAGAAAAGGTGACAACCCTAGTGCCAAGACCAGATCGGTGGGTGCTGGGGTGGGCTGCGCACCGTGACCCTGTGCTCTTGGCCCAAGACTATTAAAAGGGGGGGGTGACACCATGATTTACAGCACCAGGTGACACCAACCCTATTGACGCCACTGGGTATTAGAGAAGTCTATTTCCCTGCTGCGCTATAGCAGAAATACTGCTACAGGGTGGCAGGACTGCACAAAATCATATATATATATATATATATATATATATATACACATACAGTGGGGATCGAAAGTTTGGGCACCCCAGCTAAAAATGTGTATTAATGTGCATAAAGAAGCCAAGGAAAGATAGAAAAATCTCCAAAAGGCATCAAATTACAGATTAGACATTCTTATAATATGTCAACAAAAGTTAGATTTTATTTCCATCATTTACACTTTCAAAATAACAGAAAACAAAAAATGGTGTCTGCAAAAGTTTGGGCACCCTGCAGAATTTATAGCATGCACTGCCCCCTTTGCAAAGCTGAGACCTGCCAGTGTCATGGATTGTTCTCAATCATCGTCTGGGAAGACCAGGTGATGTCAATCTCAAAGGTTTTAAATGCCCAGACTCATCTGACCTTGCCCCAACAATCAGCACTATGGGTTCTTCTAAGCAGTTGTCTAGAAAAACTGAAACTGAAAATAGTTGACGCTCACAAAGCTGGAGAAGGCTATAAGAAGGCTATCCTCTGTTCGGAAGAAGATAGCAAAGCATTTTCAGATGTCAAGTATCACAGCTTGTTGGTAATGTAGGTATTTTGCCATTCTTCCTTAGAAATTCCTGGGCAGTCATGCAGGAACAATTATGTGGAGGAGTTGTGAAAGCAAGTTTATCTGGAATCCCCCGTGGACCAAGAAAATTTGTAGAAGCCATCAGCTTTTTCACAGAACAGTTACCCTCGCAGAATCCATTTTTCCTTGGGGATACTCGTGAGATTTCAGGCTGCAAACAAAAAGCAATTCAACCCCCCAGTTGGACCCCCCCCTTCAACATACTTTGCTCATTCTTCAAAAAGTTGGATCCCACTGTTTCTGTCAGGTGATCACAGTCAAACGTGAGGTGGCGACGAAAGGGGATGACTCTTCCATGCGTACAAGTGTGGGCCGAAACGTGCCCTGTGTTAGCGAGAGCGATAAAGCATGAGGGACATTCCCACAGCAAGTAGTTTGCCTTGGTAACAACTTTCAGTACTAGACAACTGCTGTAGGGGGTTCAGCCAAGACCCCTTTGAGGAGAGGGCCATGCACTGTGGTAGTACTCTGAAACCATTGCACAGAGTGGGTAAGTATAAAAATGTTTGTTACTTTAAAATAAATTACTTTAGAAACACTAAGTTTGAGCATTTGCATCCACTGTGCTTATTCATGCTCCCTGACAGATATTAATGTTTAAAACACACATTCAGCTGCAGAAGGTCATCTGGCAGTTTCAGAGATAAGCCCTGTACATAATAATGACATCCTGGGAGTGAGGAGTATCTATTGCTAGGTGAGAGATGTGTTCATTCTACTGTTACAACACTGTACATTCTTTGATTACGTAATGAAAATTAAAACACGGGAGTGAATGGACACTATGGAATGTTGTGCTACTCTTGCGGTGAAAAGACCGTGTCAAGTCTCTCTTCCCCGGGGCAAGTCTTGCACTTCCAGATGTAGCTACAATTACTGGAGGCACACTCTGATATTCATGTGTAGCCCAGATCATTTGGTGATAATATTTTGCACAATACTGCATAGTTGGGAAGCTTCCATGTCACTTGGCTCTACAATTCTTTACAAGGTCACATCGCCCTTGGAGGATAGGCTCTGGGGTATTTGGGTAATTAAATCTCTTGCTAAAGAAATATATGATGCAGTCTGTCCCAAGCATTAAGGTGATTCTAAAGGATAGGTTGTTTTTTCAAATAAAAAACGTTATACTTACCTGCTCTGTGTGTCCATTCACATACGGAGAGTAGTTAGCTCCACACCCCGATGTGATTGACAGCAGCAGGAGGCAATGGATCCTGCTGCTATGTGAGCCAATGAGAAGAGAGAGCCTGGAGAGCCACTGCTCTCATGTGTTTTGCTGGACTGAGATGGGACTCAGGTAAGCACGGTAGAGGGGGGTTTCACTCTATTTCATAGAATGCATTAAAGTGATACTAAAGGCATAACTTTTTTTTTCTAAAAATTCCAAACATGTCTATACTTACATGCTGTGTGCAGTGATTTTGCACAGAGCAGCCTGGATCCTCCCCTTCTCGGGTCCCCAGCAGGCTCTGCTGGCCCCTCCCTCCTATTGGTGCCCCCACAGCAAACAGCTCGCTATGGGGGCACCCGCAGCTCCGTGTGTCCATTCACACATGAAGCAGCAGCTCGGCCCACCCCCTCTCTCTTCTCATTAGCTCACTCGCTGTGATTGACAGCAGCGGGAGCCAATAGCTCCCACTGCTGTCTCAGCCAATGAGGAGAGGGAGTCCTGGGATAGCCGAGATTTCAGTGCGCACTGCTAGACCGAGAGAGGCTTAGGTGAGTGTTTGGGGGGCTGGGGGGATGCTGCACAGAGAAGGTTTTTTACCTTCATGCATGGAATTAATTTTTTTTTCCCTACATGTACTGTAAAAATGCTAAATAAATGCTAATGCTCATAAACCATTCTAAAACACTACAAAAAAACACTATTACCAGCGATTTTTATCCAGCATTCTTATAGCTTAAAAAAATGCTAGTGAACATGGAGCCTGAAAGTGGTTCTAATGGCAAAACCAT